GGTCTCCTCCGCCCCATGAATGGTTAAAGTGCAATGTTGGATCTTCATGGGATAAAACACATTGTATTGGAGGAGGTTCATGGGTGCTTAGGAATGAACATGGACATGTGATCTATCATGGCAGAAGATCTTTTGCTTTTGTGAACAGTAAGCTGGAGGCTAGTGTCATATGTTGGCAATGGGCAATGGAGAGTATGAGAAGCCTCAGAGTAAACAAGATTACCTTCGCTTCTGAGGATACCGATCTGATTGGAGCTGTTTTAAGGCCAGCTGCTTGGCCCTCTTACAAGTTCTACTCTGTTCTTTTGTCTGCTGAATTAGGAAATTTTTTGGATTGGAAGTTGTGTGGTGAGGTTAGGAGCTCTAACCTAGGAGCTCATCTCATTGCCAAAAGTGTTACAAAGGAGGATCGTCGCAAATCGTACGTAGCAACCGGTTTTCCTTTGTGGTTAAAACATCTTTTTGAGAATGAAAGTAGTAATTGCCGAGGTGTAGTACTCATGTGGGTTGATCTTGATGATTGTCTTTGATCCTCTTCTTTTGTATGTTTGGTTGAAACTCATGATATATATAACAACAAAATCTTTAATTAAAGATTAAACTCTAAATGTTTGGTTAAATTTTCGGATTGAATCATATCCAGAAAATCTCTCTCTAAACTCTAATTAAAGTCCCAAAACGGTCATATTCAAGACATGAAAGTAATGCCACGTGTACAGCGAAACTTGAGGAGGGCAGAACCCGAAACGTTTGCTCAAAGGGGGGACAAAGTAAAGTAAAAAAAGAAGTCCAACTTCTGCCGCTTTTACAGCTAAATCCAAAATATTCTTTTATTTTCACAATTCAACCTCTAACTTTTAAAAGTAACAATTCGACACCGAATTCATTAAGAGTTAATCGGTAAAAGCGATTTACATATAACAAAATAATATTGCATTCTAAAGAAATGAACTCAATTAGTGAATTATATACATATACTGAAACATTAATTTAGAGTTGCCTAATTTAAATTAGGAAAAACATTTATGGTGATGTTATGTAATAAATACAAAGATTTAGGGGTCTAGTCGAAAAAGGTATGTAGACAAAGGAACATATTTAATAAAAATAAAAAGAAAAATAAAAAGAGACAGTAAAAGCAAAAAAAGTCGTGACCTTTTTTTTTTGCAAGGTCGTAACTTTAGAGCTTTGTACCCAATTTGCTTGGAGAGCAAAACAAACTTGAAGCTTCCATAATTGACGGCCACAGAGGGAGAAGGCAATTTCGCCTTCCTCTCTCGTTTTCTATCCTGAAGAAATCTTCTTTGTTTTCTGTTTTCTCGGGATAACCAAGCAGCCGAAGGAAGTCAAATACCACCGTTTATAAGGTGACTTCGTAGTCTCGTGATCTCTCGCTTTTGAATTCTGTTCTTTACTTTTTCCGATGGAAATTTCGCTTCTTTCTTAGCAATAAATGTCGCTTATTTCTGGGTTTCTCCTCTTCTCTCCTCTGTTTATCTGCTTTTCGATGATATCGAGCTTGTAACTCGGCTTGTTTTTAGTTTTATGCGACTTGATTTTGAGATTGAATGTTTGACTGTACGTTCTAATTGTTGACTCTAATAGTAGCTCTGTTCCTTTTTCTCTTTCTTTCTTTGGATATTTTTAAGATTTGAATGTGAATCAGAGGGTGAAGAGAGATTCTAACAGAGGCCCAGTTTCACAGCACAATATTTTTGAGCAACTGGTTACTATGCATTTCGAGAATGGGGATGGTCTATTTTAGTTTTGTCAATAGACTTTGTTGTATATTTTAGTTATGGCCATTTTGGGATTCTTGGTTTGTGAAAGGATGATACTTTATGGAGCAGCTCAAATAAAACCGGAAAGCTCAATTTCTATTTCTGTTAAGTGGTTTTTACTCTGAGAATTATGCAAGATATGGGGTGACTTTGAATAAGTAATGTACAAAGCTTCTCAATCTGTTGTAACTTATAAGAGATAAAGAGTTGTATACAGCTTTGTGGACAAGAGAGCTACATGGCTAATAAAATGTAAATTTGCTTTGTATTTCATGGCTTGGTTTCACGACCAAGTGTTGAACCTTAATTACTGCGTTTGGTGGCTCCGTTGACATCATTCTGGTGAGAGATTCCAGGTAGTGCAATAGGTTGCTAAGATAGTTTTGGGGAACACTCTTTTTTTTTAGTTCTTAATATTTGAATCTTTACGAGTCTTCTCTGAGCTTGTGATTCTTTTTTCTTGCAGACAATGATTCGTGCAAAGCACATTAGTAATCTTTCTAGCTCAGCAAGATCCTTTTTTCTTAGTGGAACGAGACCTAGTGCTGGTGATGGAAATTCTTGTACATGCGCTGAGGATGAAAGTTGCGTCTCAAAACGCCAACAAATTAGGACTGAAGTTGTACAAACTGGAAAGAAAGTATCTAATCTAGCAGCTGGACTAGCTGGAAATATATTACCAGTAGAGGCTTGTAAACCGCCGGTGGTCCCGAAGTCGGTTGAGCATTTCACTCGACCATTGCTTCTTCCGCAGCATGTATCCTCTCCTGCTTTGCCGGGGAAAACAGATTCTGCTATTATTAAAGATGATGTGGGGGCACCTATTGGTGATCAGATATTCAAGGCTGGTAATGGTATTGGAACTGTAAATTTATTGTCAGATGTAGCAAACTATAAGATCCCTTTATCAGATGGAACTGAAGTTGTCGGTTTGCCTAAAAGCTGTATGGTTGATCCTACTCGGCCTATTTCGAGTGTAAAGTCTTCAAATGTGAAAGTCATCAGAAGAGAGCACCTTGCTAAAGTCTACCCTAGGTCCGCTTCCAAAGATTCATCAGACCGCGTTGCTATAAACAGCTCTCCAAGTATTAAGCAAGCGTCATTTGAAGCTCATGATTTACTCTCAAACACTGCCTCTGGAAAGAGGAAAAGCATGCCACAAAGAACCTATATTGATTCAACCAGGTATGCATCTGGTGGTTGTGACTATAATGTGCATTCTTCGGATGACAGAACGATAATATCCTCTGTTGAAGGTTTCGGTAAACCCTCAAGGGAAATGATGAGAGTGACTCCAGGGACTGCTCCAACACCTAGGCAGTATTGTAACCCTGGATACGTTGTAGAAAATGTTTCTGGTATATTGCGGAGATTCAAATGGGGACATGCTGCTGAAGAGGCCCTTCACAATTTCGGTTTCAGGATGGATGCATACCAAGCTAATCAAGTTCTTAAGCAGATGGATAATTATGCGAATGCACTTGGTTTCTTTTATTGGCTGAAAAGGCAACCTGGGTTTAAGCATGACGGGCATACTTATACCACTATGGTAGGTAATCTTGGTCGTGCAAAGCAATTCGGTGCGATAAACAGGCTTCTTGATGAGATGGTTAAAGATGGATGTAAGCCAAATACTGTTACATATAACCGGCTCATCCATAGCTACGGCCGTGCAAATTACCTCAATGAAGCTATGAATGTTTTTAAGCAGATGCAAGAGGCTGGTTGTGAGCCTGACCGTGTAACTTACTGTACCCTGATAGACATCCATGCTAAAGCTGGATTTCTTGACATTGCCATGGACATGTACCAAAGAATGCAAGCAGCAGGGCTTTCTCCTGATACTTTCACCTACAGTGTTATAATAAATTGTCTTGGAAAAGCGGGCCACTTACCTGCTGCACATAGGCTCTTTTGTGAAATGGTAGGTCAAGGTTGTACCCCTAATTTGGTCACATTCAACATCATGATAGCTTTGCATGCCAAGGCGCGGAATTATGAGACTGCGTTGAAGCTCTACAGAGACATGCAAAATGCCGGGTTTCAACCGGACAAAGTGACATACAGTATTGTTATGGAGGTACTTGGACACTGTGGATTTCTCGAGGAAGCAGAGGGTGTTTTCGCTGAGATGCAACGTAAGAACTGGGTTCCTGATGAACCGGTTTACGGTCTTTTGGTGGACTTGTGGGGAAAAGCTGGCAATGTGGAAAAAGCTTGGCAGTGGTATCAAGAAATGCTTCACGCCGGTCTGCGACCTAATGTTCCCACATGCAATTCCCTTCTCAGCACTTTCCTTAGGGTTCACAGGATGTCTGAAGCCTATAACTTATTACAAAGCATGCTGGCGCTTGGTCTACATCCTTCTTTGCAGACATACACATTGCTATTGAGTTGTTGCACAGATGCTCGTTCAAACTTTGACATGGGCTTTTGTGGCCAGCTAATGGCAGTCTCAGGTCATCCGGCTCACATGTTTCTCCTCAAAATGCCACCTGCAGGTCCTGATGGCCAAAAAGTGCGTGATCATGTCAGCAACTTCCTTGATTTTATGCACAGTGAGGACAGAGAGAGCAAGCGAGGACTCATGGACGCAGTAGTGGATTTTCTCCACAAGTCAGGTCTAAAAGAAGAGGCTGGTTCGGTATGGGAAGTGGCTGCAGTTAAGAATGTGTATCCAGATGCATTGAGGGAGAAAAGCTGCAGCTATTGGCTTATAAATCTCCATGTAATGTCGGAAGGAACTGCAGTCATCGCACTTTCTAGGACACTTGCATGGTTCCGTAAGCAGATGTTGGTTACAGGAGACTGTCCTTCACGGATTGATATAGTAACTGGTTGGGGAAGACGAAGTAGAGTCACAGGCACGTCGATGGTTAGACAAGCAGTTGAGGAATTGCTCAACATATTCAACTTCCCGTTTTTCACTGAGAACGGGAACTCGGGCTGTTTTGTAGGATGCGGAGAGCCTCTCAAGAAGTGGTTGCTTGAATCATATGTTGAGAGGATGCATTTGCTTTAGTTGTAGAATAGTTGTTTTGATTTCTTCTTTTAAGGTCTCTAAATTTTTTTCTATCTTTTGGCGGAATCGCAATGGTTTGGTTTTGTAGGTCATAAGTTTAAGGTTAGTGATGACTGGAATTTTTCTCCAGAATTTTGTTCTCATGTCGACATAAACTACTCTTGAGGTTGGTTGTAATGGGAGTATAGAATTCAATCTTTCAGGGTGATACGACCCATATTGAATTATTGATTACATTTGGAATATTTTTTGTATGATTTATTTTTGTACAACATCAAATGTTACAAAAATGTTTTCTTATCAGCCATGTACTACATGGACAGCTGATTCTACAATAATGTCAATGGAAAAGGAAAATTGGAGAGAGATCTAAAGGAGCCTTGAATTGTAGGAGCCACAGCTTGTGCATTTGTGGTAAAGCCAATGGTAAGGAGCATTTCCTTTTCTTCCACAGTCATTACACAAGATCACCTGCACCAAACCATTTTTCTATTCGGTTTATTCTTGAGACCGATGCTTTGTACTATGTAACAATATGAAGAGAGATAGAGAGAGATCTAAACCTGAGTTTTGTTGGAGTATTCATCAGGCATCTTCTCTTCTGCAAGCAATGCGTCTAACATCTTAAAGTAGACCTGTGTGAGAAAGTTCATTGCTTAGTGATGTGCATCGTTCCAATAACGACTACTATTTGGACGTCAGAAGAACTTTGATGCAATTACTAATCTTTTCTAGGGAAAACAATACTCTGTTTGAAAATGGTGTAACTGACCTGCATATCTCCTAGTGACTTGCTGCAGATAGGGCATGTGTAATGTGAACATGTGTACTCCTACAACCAGAATCAAAGAACAAAGCCTTAAGTAATCTTAGCATTACTATGTGTTTTACTTTTTCACTACTACCCAAATTAAAAAGATATTTTGACAGGGTTAAGTACCTGAAAGCATGTGGAGTGCATCAAGTGACCGCAAGGAAGAGCCTTCACAGGAGAGCTGGAGGTGAAGATATACTCGTGGCATATAGGGCAATTATCTTCTAAGCACTTTTCCCTGCAAACATGCTCTACTAAGGTACGTGACATGCAAGCATTGCATTTCATGCAATGGAAGTAATCAATGCCCAGTCCTTTCCCTACCCGGCAGAGGTTGCAGTAAGGGCAGTGATATATTTTCCTGTTAGGAAGAATCTTTTGTTAACCACTACCGATGTTTAGTCGATAAAGGAAGCACAAGAATTATATTTCATTTCATAGTTTTGATAACTTGCAAGAAAAGGTGAAACAGGGGAGAAGTTACCTTTCATCGTCATATAATTTGCATATTTGGCAAAAGTATTTTCCCATTGACGATTTACATGAAGTATTTGAGCAATTTGCACCAATCGGCTGGATCAAGAGGCATTTCATGCACATTATCTTTGTAATCTGTTTCCTGCATAAAAATTCAAGAGAACCAGAAATGGTTGAAGACACGACAAGATTTTTCGAAGCTCCTTGTATAAAAGTAGAAGTTGTAACTACCTATCCACCGAGTGATCAGCTTCTTCATCATGGCATCGTATACATGTGAACAGCTTGTCACAACAAGGAGCAAAAAGCTTGCATTTTCTCTTGTAATGATTGCAACCAAAGATCAAACTATGAGGATCTCGATATGATGGATGTTGACCAGGAACTGTTTCCATGTTGCTTGAGAGAGATGATGGTTCCAAAATATTTGTACGTTGTGAGATATTCCACCGACTGAAAGAAGAACCTGACATTTTAGTCTCAATATAAAGACAAATTTAATGTGATATACATAAGAGTAAATAGACTTCTCTGCTTATCTAAATAGGTTACAACAGGACACCAAAAGAGAGATAACATGGCTTACCTCATTAACAAATTCTGCTTGATATAGGATTTCTTCTGAGGATTCAAGGAAGAGTCGCATGATATTTTCTTAATCACAACCACAAGTTCTTCCTCACTCATTGTTAACAATTGTTCATATCTCTTGGATGGACCAAACTGGCTAACCTTCTGAGACATTTGGAAAGTCTGACTAGGATTTCTTGTCTGGAAATTGTTGTCAGTTTGTTCTTTGTCCCTCTTTTGGTCAGCTCCTCTACATATCTTTTTACTTTCTGAGCGTTCTAGATCCTTCTCCTCTTTGTTGCCGAGTTCAACATTGTTATTATGAGGTGGCTGATTCATCATACCCGTGAAGTCTGTTTCTGAGAGTTGGACAAGGTTGCTCCCTATGTCCCCATCAGCAGCTGCTTCAAAGAGATACTTCCAAACAATCTCTAGTGGATCTGAATCCCCAAATGGATCATTGTTTGATTCTCCTGCTTCCTCTTGTAAAACATGACCGTTGTACCATTCTGTTAGCCATTCGACAAACATTGTTTTCCTAGTTACTTGGCGCCACAAGGACATCGCGGCAAGCTGTTCATCAGAAGTCAATGATTCCATTAACCAAGGAATCATATCCTGCAATATTTCCCCACTTATTCTCCCAAGCATGCATCCTATCATTTTCTCTTGTTCTTCAATAGAGAAGCAGTTTCTGAATAGACCCCATAGCTCAGTTTCTTCATGTTGGATATGCTCAGACAACAGCTTGTGCATAGATTTGCAAATCTCTTGGAGACTCAGACATAACCGCTCATACTTCGTCTTTCGATGGTGGTCCACTGCATTGGTATTTATGGTAGAAACCAACATGTTCAGTTCTGCCATCTCATTCAAAATGAATGAAACTTTGTCGAAGTGTTTAGTTTCTAGCTCATGATCAATGCCAAATGAGTGACTAATGTTTTTAAGTTGTCCCTTGGCCTCCAATGCTGGAAATGCAATTTCATCCTCTGCATCCGAATGTATCTGATACAAGAACTTTATCATATGGAATCGCTGTTGAAACTCCGCGAGGAACCGAAAGTCGGCTGCCAATCTTGCCGATCCACAAACAAGGTAGTCCAAATCCATCTTCATTGCCTTATGGAAGAAGAAAAGGAGGTCAATTGGTTTTACATCCATTATCGATGGATCATCCATATTCTTCTCACCAAAAAAATTTGGAAGATGGAGAGGAGGCTTGAGCTTTCCCGAGAAAATCATTTGCTGATTCATTCGACTAGAGTAAGGTGTCTCATACATGTCTCCAGCAGCTAGATCCATTGACATGAAGCAGGTTGAAGACTTATCTTTCTTTCTAGGACAAACAACTTTAGATCCTTTGCATAGTTGCATCTGTGTTTGGTTGGAAAATGATCCTGATGCTTCTTCATTGTGATCTTTTTGGCAGGAACATCTTACTTTGAACATCACTGCCAGCTGTTTCCAAAAAGTTTCAACAGAGGTTTTTCCTGAGTAGCCAAAACGAAGCCACTGTAGCAAGAGGCGTGGAAATGATTTCTTGGGAGAAGAATCTTCCAAACTTAAGAAATGAAGAATTGATTGAGATTCCTCTTCTGATAGATGAGCAGAAAACCAAAGTATGACACACTTTAGCAATCCAAGAGGTAAGACATGAATGCTTGTGTATAGGAGCTGCTTCTGCATTTCATGGTTGCAATTCTTGCTGATGATTGGGAATACCTGGACAACAATGAGTGCAACAATTAAATATAAAATACATACAAGGCAAATGGAAAGTAAAGAGAAACAGTTTCAACTGTTACCTCTGTTCGCTGTACAGAAAATTGATTTGTTACTTGTACTATAAGGGACTCAAGTTCCTCCTGAAGCTGCAATAGAAAATCATCTGTCCTTGTTTTATCATCAGCACTTTTGTATAGAAATCTCTGAAAATTCTCAAGACAACCATCTATGTTGAATTGTTTGGCAGTTGAAGAGGGGCGAGCTGTCATTTCTTCTAACACTGGGTGAAAGAACTTCTTAAATGCATTGCTACAACAAAATAAAGCATTTTTTGTAACCCAATCAGAGAAAGAAGTAGGATGAAAAATAAAAAGATAAACGGCTTAAGAGACTAGGCACCATACCGAATTAATCGAACAAACTATTTACCTATAAGAAACAAGGACATCAGCAAGGAAGTTTAATCGGGCCATCAGTACATCAAGGTCCACAAGAAGGCTTGAGAATTTTGCTCTGCATAATCCTTCTTGAATATCTCTCAAATCCTTTTCAATTGCATTTTGAAAAAGTCGAAGACCATGAATCGGGCTGCGTCCTACATTTGGAATAGAAAGGGACTTTTTACTCCACTCCCAAAACCGTTGAAAACATCCGCTGGACGGATGTGACTCAGGTGATTTCTTCATACTTTTAGACACATTAACATACTGGACTCCTTTCATGATCTCTGTAGGAGTCCCATAAGAAGATTGACTGTCGTCAAGAAGCCAAGAGCTTATGACCTTCAGGAAATTCTATCTTATCAAAATGATGAACATGAAAGAAGAAAAACATAGCATATCTCAGCAAAGGGGATATATATACCTGTTGCATTGAGTCTTCAGCTGGGGCAACATCTTTAATGCAATTCTCAACTTCAATTTTCTCCTCGTGAGAGAGATAAGACATCATCCATGGCAAAAAGTCTTCAAGCACCATCACTGGAACACTACATATGAATTGCCACACAAGTGACGCCTGTTCTCGGAAAGAGAACTTCTCAATTAACAAAGGAAAGACCTGTATGAAGCATGACTCGTTAGGCACCACTATGGAAAGTGATAAGAGTATTATCTGTGACTGAAATGTTGTTTCCATGGAAAACTCTTGTATAACAAGCTCAACAATTATATACCTGACGCTCTTCTTTAAGCATATGTTGGCATATAGATGATTGAATGGTGCCTATACATAATATAACTTCACGAAGAACATCACTTGTGCTTCCTATTTCTTCCTCAAGAACATGTAGCCAATGAAAAATTGAGGTGAAGAGATCATCTGTGCCAGCATGCTCAAGTGAATAATTAGAAACTATGTTTTTTACTCGTTTATCAAGCGCCAAAAATATAACCTGCCAGTAAAAAAAATCGTTTCAAAATCCACTGTTAATTATATATCATGATAAGGATTCCAATCTTACGAGTCAGATTCTTGACATCATTCAAGCTTCACAAACTGAAACTAGAGACTGCAACACGAATTTAGACAAGGTCTTTACCCTAGAAACCTAGTCTAACCAAGATCGAAGCAGTTTTGTTCCAAAATCTCGTAGCACCAATTGTAAACAAACCAAGATTAATTGAGATATGATGACTACTTAAGCTCTTGTGTCTGTTTACTATTTTAGTAGAGAAATTAAAAACAGAGAAAAATCACAACTTAAAAAGTGATAAAAAAAATCTAACCTCATCTTCAGCTGCACTATGATACTTATATACAAGCTTCAAAAACTCAAACTTCCGGGAGAGCTCCACCGCCAGATCCCCGCTAAAGGAATCAGCTTCTGCAGCGTCAGTAGCGAAACGCCGGAGGTCCACCAGCTGAGCACGAAAAGCCTTGTGGCAGTAAACGAAGAAAAGAACCGGAGCATCAGAAAGCTTGGTATTTCCAACGGTAACCGCAGAAGCATTTTCGGGCGGAAGGGAATGAAGATTTCCGCCTCCCATCCACCGCAACAACAACCGTGATTGAAATCAAATTTTCGTCGTCGTGGTCGTCAAGTGAAGGAGAAAAGGGAAAGAAGAAGGAACCGAGTTGAGGAATAGAGAAGCATTTTAAAGGCCTGATACATCTTCCTAGTCGTCACTCTCTTTCTGCAGAAGCCAGTTCTTTTTATTATAATCAATTTGGGATTTTGAGTTTTATTATATTACAAGTGACTGAGACGTTGCAGCTGAAAACCAACCATAGCTTATATCATATTTGTGGCGGGATTTTAATTTAAATATCTGTTAGTTTTGTCTCTGTTTCTTTGGTAACTAACTAAAGTTATTTTCATTTCTTATTGTCTCATTTAGAACCAGCCCCGACTCAATATATTTGAGAGCCTTAGGGCAAAAAAATTTTTTTTGGCCTATTATTATATACAAAGAGAAAATTTACTTATTTTTAAAAAATTTTGCGGAGTTTTTATAGTAAAAATTGTTATTTTAAAAATTTTGGGCCTTTTTATACATTTTCTTATAAATAATTAGGCCTCTTAAAATATAATTTTCATATTAATAATATTTTTAAAAAATATTTAGGCATTTTTTATATGTAAAATTTTTTTATAAAAAAAAAAGCTCCGGGCCGTCGCACCTCCGCCCTACCCATCTGAGCCGGGGCTGTTTAGAACTTTAGATTGTTAAAATATAAACGGGTAGATTTTTTAACCCCGAAATAAACAAACATCAAATCATATCCTGAAGTTTTTTCTTTAGAAGAATTAATCAAACACGAATGGATATAAATTATAATGCAATTCTTCAACATTATTTATTTTTTTTATCAGAGAAAGAAAAAACAATATTTTGGTTGTTGTCAACTGTTCAACATTAGTTTATATCTCCAACGTCGTTCATTATTATAGTATAATAATGCATGAAAAAACATTAATTAGATGTTTAACTAATGAGTGGTGATCCGACATATACAAATATTAACATTGCATAATTTTATATTAAATCTGTTAATAGTTATGATGTTTTGTAATTGAGTAACATTGAAAAATCTCGTGATATGCGGGAGATTAACTGAGTCAGCCTCGTGATTATAAAACGATTGGTCGAGAGAGTGGCGTGACCTTGGCCGGCCGTACAGTTGTCTCCATCCTCCTTGACCAGTCAACGTTGAATTTGTTAGTTTAATCCATTAATTAACCCCGTTCCGTCTTGTAACCCCCACGAGCCGTCTTGTGTCTGTCGTGTGCTCTCCATCTGACTCCACGTGTCATTCCAGTTTATTGGGCTCACAAAATCGAAACTACGACTATATGAGCCCATCTAAACATTTTTGAGCCCATTAAGTTTGTCCAATAAAAAAAACAAATATTTCGAAAAAAAAAGAAAAGTTTCGTCATCGTGTTCGCTTCTTCGCCGTTCAGGAGGGAAAAAAAAGGGTCTGACTTTCTCCTTTTCCGGCGAGGAAGGTGGTGATAATTGGCGGCGATGGAGATATTAAGGACGAAATGGGTGGCTATGGCGGCTAGTATATGGATACAATGCACAAACGGCGCTTCCTACACCTTCGGAATCTATTCCGCTGTCTTGAAATCGACTCAATCGTACGATCAATCCACCCTCGACACCGTCTCCGTCTTCAAGGACATCGGAGCAAACGCCGGAGTTTTCTCCGGGCTTTTATACACTTACGCTACCTCCAATCGTCGCCGTGGACGGGGAGGAGGCGCAGGAGGACCTTGGGTGGTGCTTGCTATTGGGGCAATTCAGTGCTTCGCTGGTTATTTTCTCATTTGGGCTTCCGTTACCGGACGTATTAGGAAGCCGCCGGTGCCGCTGATGTGCCTGTTTATGTTCTTAGCAGCTCAGTCACAAACGTTCTTTAATACGGCTAATGTTGTTAGTGCCGTTGAGAATTTCGCTGACTATGGTGGTACAGCCGTTGGGATTATGAAGGTGAATTTTTGATGTTGCTTTTCGATTTCTTGGTGTATTGAATGGATCTGTATTGTTGGATCACGTCAATTTGTTTCCTTGGGACCCAATGAGCAATATTCGACAATGATTGATCCTGGTAGATTATCAATGAGGAGGCTTTGGTAAAGGTCGATGCTTTGAACTTGAATGTGGGAGCAATCAAGATCTGAATCAAGTCGTTGATTTGTGCATTGCTGCTTAAGATCAATTTTTCAGTTGATAAATTTTGTGATTTCTGTTACTGTTGAGAAGACCATGTTTTTGTGTAAAACTGAGTTTTCTTACAAGCTGTGTTCAATTTGTTTATGATCATAGTGAAGCATCCAAGCTTATCTCTACTTCTTTCTTTGCAGGGTTTTCTTGGTCTAAGTGGAGCGATACTAATTCAACTGTACGAGACATTGTGCGCTGGAGATCCGGCGAGCTTCATTCTCTTACTGGCAGTAACACCAACAGTGCTCTCACTCTTGGTCATGCCTCTGGTCAGGATCTATGAGACAAGCGTAGCCGATGATAAAAAGCATTTAAATGGTCTTTCAGCTGTATCTCTAATCATTGCAGCTTATCTTATGATCGTTATCATATTGAAGAACACCGTTGGTTTGTCATCATGGGCCAATGTTGTCACACTTGTATGTCTAGTCGTCCTGCTTGCCTTGCCTCTACTTATTGCGAGAAGAGCACAACGAGACGGCATGGAAAAACCAGCACCACATGAGTATTCCCCTCTGATAAGCAGTCCAAAGGCAACAACCTCCGGTAACCAAAGTTCTGAAGGTGACAGTAGAATAGATTCTGGTCTGAGTGAGAACCTGAATCTTCTGCAAGCTATGAAAAACCTAAGCTTCTGGTTGTTGTTTCTTGCTATGATTTGTGGAATGGGTTCTGGACTTTCGACGATAAACAACATCCGACAAATAGGTGAGTCTCTTCGATACTCATCTGTTGAGATAAATTCGTTGGTTTCCTTGTGGAGCATATGGAACTTTCTTGGTAGATTTGGAGCTGGTTACGCTTCAGATGCATTGCTACACAAAAAAGGATGGCCACGTCCATTGCTAATGGCTGCAACACTTGGAACAATGACGATAGGCCATCTAATTATAGCCTCTGGTTTTCAAGGAAACCTTTATGTCGGTTCTGTTATAGTTGGCGTTTGTTATGGTTCACAATGGTCTCTGATGCCTACAATCACCTCTGAACTATTTGGGGTTCGGCACATGGGAACCATCTTCAACACCATATCTGTAGCTAGTCCCATTGGTTCCTATATCTTCTCTGTAAGATTGATCGGTTATATCTATGACAAGACTGCTTCTGCGGAAGGGAACACATGTTATGGCTCTCACTGCTTCAGGCTGTCATTTATTATAATGGCCTCTGTTGCATTCTTCGGGTTTCTTGTCGCCATTGTATTGTTCTTTCGGACAAAGACGCTCTATCGTCAGATTCTCGTAAAGAGATTGCATCGCCGATAGAGTTCTTGTGAATACTATGCTCGAGAAAAAACGAATACCGCTTCTCTTGCCAAATCCATGGTAGCTTACGATTCTCAGAGGTACACATCAATTACTTTACCTATAAGTTGATTGTAAGTTATGTTTGTATCAAATGTCTGTGTTTAGAGATGGGAAGAAAGAAAGCTGAGATCTTTGTCTCTCTTTCTTTTTTGTAGTTTCTTCCACAAATGTGAGTTTTGTGAAGTGTATAGACATCTCATAGTTTCCCAATAATGTTGAATTCTTTTTAATTCATATTGTTGATTACGGTGCATTTAAATAGTAATAATTTGCAGGCCATCAGGTCTCATTCATTCATTATTCAAATTAATCCACAAAACCAATTGACCATTCACCAACACTCTTATTCAATGCGTTTCCAATTTGATCATTTTCACATACTTACTTTATTATCAAAACTAAGTTATGGTTTGGAATAAAAAGTAGTTTTGCAGTCTTAAATGGAAGAGAACTTGAAGAAGACAAGTCCTTTTTTTTTCTTTCTTCTACCAACTTCAAACCTACTTTTCGAACCCCAATAAGTTCCTAGAAATCCAAAACCCAAATGTATAAAGTCAACTACTTTGACTTTCACATCTGAAGACATATAATCCCGTGGATGAGAAAAGAGTTGAAAAACAATCAAAAGCTAGCAAAGCGAAGAAAAAGACACAACCTCTGTTCATCGTCTGTCTCTGTGACACGAGAAAGTTGAAAAATTCAAATGAACATGATAATATTCATTAATTATTTTATGAGAAGAGTGATTTCTGGGGATATGGTTGTTAGTTGTCATGGGAAGACGGTAAACGCCATCGCAATTGCATTTATTCTGTCTGCAGAGTCAAACGAACTAATTTTATTATTTGATTTTCAGTCCTATCTCTTGTCTTGTTCTGAGATCAGATGTATAAAAAAGAGACTTCTTTTCTTCTTCTCTCTTGATTCTCTCTTCCACTGTCATTATCCTCAAGATTTGTCTCTTGTGAGACTCGATGACGCTTCATCGATCTCTTGTGTTCTTTTTCTTGTTCCTCTCATGTTTCTCTCTTTCTTCATGGGCTCTTCCTCTCTGTTCCGATTCAAGTGAGTTTTTTTTTTTTTTTTTTTGTTCTGCTATTGATTTGGTATTAGTAGTTCTGCTATTGTAGATTGATGCAATGGTCAACATTTTGTTTTTTGATGGGTTTTCAGGAGCTCCCTCGGAGGTGAATTCGACATTGAGCTTTTGTCCTTACAAAGGAAAAACATGCTGCAATTCAATGGAAGATTCCAGTTTGATGAAGCAATTTCAAGCTATGAACATTTCCGACAAGGGTTGTGCTTCTGTTGTAAAATCAATCCTTTGTGCTGTAAGTACAATCTGTCTTTTATCTCTAAAGATTCTGCAAATGTTTTCATTATGCCATACTCATACTGTCATACATAATCTGCTTCGAGCTGTAACCATTTTTACCTGATTTGTTTGGAACCATTGTGCTGTTTTAGGGAAAGGTGTCTATAACTTCTCCCCCACGACCTACTTTTGATAATGAATCTGCAAAATAGGAATTCTGTTCTAAGTTTCTTCTTTTTTTGTTTTGTTTTGTTACTGTGATGTTACAGAAATGCGATCCTTTTTCATCGGATTTATTCAGAGATAACTCAGATCAGCAGTCTGTTCCAATCCTCTGCAACTCTACCAGTTCAGCAAATTCCACAGAGGATTTTTGCTCTGAGACATGGGAGACATGTCAAAACGTTTCCATATCGGGTTCTCTTTTCGCTGCCTCATTGCAAGGCCGAGCTGGAGCCCCAGCAAATAACAATGCCTCCAAGCTTGCTGATGTATGGCAGTCCAAAACCGATTTCTGTAGTGCCTTTGGTGGAGCTAGCTCCAATGAAACTGTTTGCTTCAGCGGTGAGCCAGTTGCTCTTACTGACAATGACACTACTCCTGACAAGCCGCCTTCTGGTTTATGCCTTGAGAAAATCGGGAATGGTTCTTACCTCAACATGGTTCCCCACCCTGATGGCTCCAACCGTGCATTCTTCTCTACGCAACCTGGAATAGTATTCTTGGCTGGTATACCGGATCAAGATTCTGGCGGGGTATTGGACGTGGATCCATCTAGCCCGTTTGTGGATTTGACTGATGAGATTCATTTTGATACTGAGTTTGGGATGATGGGAATGGCTTTTCATCCAAAGTTTGCTCAAAATGGGCGGTATTTCGCTTCTTTTAACTGTGATAAGTCCAAGTGGCCGGGCTGTACTGGAAGGTGCTCATGTAACTCCGATGTGAACTGTGATCCTTCCAAACTAACTCCTGACAGTGGATCTCAACCTTGCCAATTCCAAACCGTAATAGCTGAGTATACAGCCAATGGTACCTCATCAGACCCTTCTAAGGTATATATACTCTTTTCGATCCCTTTTCAGCATCATAAAATTTTGCGTTTGTCATAGAGCCTTAAGTTTTTTTTCTCGTTGTTCAGGCAAAGAATGCTAAGCCAACAGAAGTCAGGAGGATTTTCACAATGGGACTTCCCTTCACATCACACCATGCTGGACAGATTCTCTTTGGTCCAGATGGGTATCTATACTTTATGATGGGAGATGGAGGTGGAGGCGCAGACCCATACAATTTCTCACAGAACAAGAAATCTTTGCTAGGAAAGATCATGAGGCTTGATGTAGATAACATTCCTAGTGGGTATACTTTGGCTTTTGTTTACGTAGTAGCTAAATTCGTAACATGTCACAGCATTATAGGAATGTTCTTTGTTGTTTACCAAGATCCACAAATGTCTTCAGGTGCTTCTGAGATCTCCAAAATGGGTCTATGGGGAAACTACTCTATACCAAAAGACAACCCTTTTCGTGAAGACAAAGAGCTTGAACCTGAAATATGGGCTATTGGATTGAGAAACCCTTGGAGATGCAGCTTTGATTCTTCTAGGCCTTCTTACTTTATGTGTGCTGATGTTGGACAGGTACTAGCTTGTTTCGACAATGAGCATGTCTGTTTATTTTGTTTGCAGTCTTCCACTGTTCTTGATATGTTTGGTGGTTAATAGGACACATATGAAGAGGTGGATCTCATTACCAAAGGAGGAAACTACGGTTGGCGTGTTTACGAAGGCCCGGATCTTTTCCAGCCGGAGGCATCCCCCGGAGGAAACACATCTATTAAATCATTAAACCCAATATTTCCTGTGATGGGTTACAACCACTCTGAAGTTGACTCAAGCGGAAAATCAGCTTCAATCACTGGAGGGTACTTTTATAGATCTGAGACTGATCCTTGCATAGCTGGAATGTGAGCTAAGACACACTCTTTCTCTATTTCCTTCTCTCTTGTGGCCCTCACATTTATATGGTAACAAAACATTTTGCAACTATAATGTTTTTTGTAGGTATGTGTATGCTGATCTATATGGAAATGGCGTGTGGGCGGGGATTGAAACTCCTGCTAATAGCGGGAACTTTGTGACCAACAGAACAACCTTCAGCTGCGCCGGTGACTCACCCATGAAATGCAGCGATTCTCCGGGAACTTCAGGGTTATCTCTAGGATATGTCTTCTCCTTTGGTGAGGATAACAACAAAGACATCTACTTGCTTACAAGCAATGGTGTCTATAGAGTGGTTAGGCCGAGCCGTTGCAACTTGACTTGCTCCAAGGAAAACTCCACGGCAGCTAGAAGAAAACCCGGTCCCTCGAGTTCTCCTTCTTCTTCGCCGTCCTCTTGTTATAAGCATATAAATGGTTTCCATGGAAGCTTCGTGGTTTTATTTGTGTCTCTGTCTTTGATTCTGCTAGGTTTATTAAACTAGTTTTTCAAAAGTTGTTTCTTCTTGTTTGTGTTGAAAAGTATGTTGAGGATGGTTTGAGAGAATACATGTATGATGATGAATGAGACCAAAGATATTCTTTCACAAATATGTTCATAACTACTCTAAAGAACAACAGTAGACTATGTTTTACTGTTGAATGTTATCTCTGAGTTAGTGTATAATTATCTTTTTGTCTAACACTTTGTAAACATGTATTGCTCAGTCATATATCGTGTTGTGAAGTCGAAAGACAAAGAAAGAACAGATTTCCATTTAGATTTAGATAATGAACAAATTCTCTATGTTTTCTTCCCTACTTGTTCTCTCCATTACTTCAACAGATCAGAAGGCTTGAAGCTGCAGACCAGTCGAACAATTCCAGGTTCGCTCTTTCTCTCTGTGTGGTGAGCTTGCAAAATTGATTTTTTAATTTGCCCTGGCATTCTACAGCAAGCTTGAAGGCATATTCTATCCCAGAAAACGCAACTGTTTCCTCAAGTATCATCTCATGTTACAACACTCAGGCTTGTTCTGTCTTAAGAGCTTATCCCATAAGCATATCATCTGTCTTGGCGACTGGTAATGAGCTGTGTAGTAGTTCTCAACACAACCAAATTGGCAGAATCTCAGACTGTGTCTGTAATCCACTGGGTTTGTTGTGTTCTTGAAATGCTCAACCCACATTCCCACACTCACGTCCTCCATCTTGAACAGCTGGTATATGTGAACAACAGACTTTTTCAACAACAGAGAATGAGAAGTGTAAAAGAAGATGATACAACTGGTTTGAATCTCTCTTTTGCTTACCCGTAATTTATGTCTCTCAAACTTGTCCACGATGAAGCGCGCAATGTCAGAAGATAGAACATAACCGGGTCCATTTGCGTAGGGCGGATAGTCCTCCTCTGGCCATTCCTGATATAATCCACAAGATATACGTTAATGATGAGTGACAATCTTAAAGTATTCACAGAACTAACACTTAAAAGCGCCGCACTATTTCATCCAATAGGCTGCATATAAAGATGGAGTGTGATGCAGAAATAATGTACCTCATATGTGACTGCCCATTTACCCCCACGGAGAGGTTTGTGGTAATAATTCATGTTACCAATGTACAGGCTTCTACCTTCGGGTACTTTTTTCACTTCATTGATCACCGCACCAAGTTTTACAAATGTATCATCGTCACATTTCATTATGTACTTTGCAGAGAATGCAAGAGCCTGCAGCAATCAAAGCCAAAAAAATTCAACAATCAACTCCACAGAAACACTAAATCAGGAACAATTCTGCGGAAGCATAACCTATATAAAATCTGATACTCACTCCATGTTCACATATGGCAACAGTTTTCAGCACGACAAGATCATAGCTATCCATGTATGGAACAAGTACAATGTCCCCAAAATACTCTGCTTCTTTCTTCAATTCCACATTCACCTCCTTCCTCCCATGCTGTGAATGCACATCACGGAGAAAGAAAAAACAAACAAAATTCTGTTCAGGTAACAGTTGCATTTTGATGATGCTCAAATCAAACTTTGTCTCTGTACTATTAAGCCCTCATGACTTTTTTTTTTTTTTTTTTTTTTTTGTAATCAAGCACTCATGCCTTAAGACTTGATAAATATGTAAAAATCCAGCTTACCAGCGCTACAAAGAAACGAGCAACAACTTTTGCAGATGTGATAAGAACATGCTGCATCCAGGATTTCCTCACAGCCATCCGCTCAGAGAAATGATTGCCTGCGGAAAGAATGCCTATGAAGATCTCCACAGGCCCATCGGGAACTACAGGGGCCTGCCATCTCTTTGACAACTCGAGATGCCTTTGGGGAGCAAAGCTAGGATGTGATGTTGGCAGAGAGGCAACAAAAACAGAATGGACATCAATGTCTCCATTTACGGTTAGCCCTGTTGCATCCTCGAGGGTGAAACCCTATTATATATAACAAAGAATTACTAACCAACTCGTTCTACGATCTTCACTATTATGGATCGCATGAATAAAACCATTCATTTGGACACAATCATACAGAAACAGGGTAGGATATATACTCACAGTGCGATAAGGGAAAGATGTCACATGCTTTCCATCAACATTGATGTGGTAGCCCTCTAAACCGGCGCTAAGAGTTAGAACAAACAGCTTCTCTTCCACAAAAGGAAACGGCCATTCTACTTTGACCCTTTTTCTCCTTCCTATGAGTCGATTCAACCACCATCTTGCCCTCGACCCTTCTGAGTAGTTATCATCATCACGAATCCACTTCTCACACTTCACATGACTATCAACTGCAGCCACAGTAAAGTATTACTCAACAGATGACAAGAACCTTAATTTGCTAGCTTACAAACCAACTATCTAAAACTCTCCTACAAAGTTCAGATACCAAATAACAAAGGAATAGACCTCACCAGTCTCTTCCTCGGCTCTTGACTTCCATCCTTCGCAACGTTGTGCAGGTCCCCATTGCATTCTGTAGCAACTGTTCTGCTCAATCACCGGTTTTTTGCTCCAATCTCCCTTAAGCCTCGGATTGAAATGCAGAATCCTAGGAGGATCCTCTCCTTCAACAGTCTTCAAACCTTGAAGCTCTATCACAAACTGAGACACCAACTTAGACCAATCTCCTTCCTTGGGATGAGCTTTCCTCGGCCTCCCCACCAGAGTTATGTGTGAACCCAATGTCAAACCACACGGCAGCTCCATCAGTTTGTTCTCCCGGTTCATAAATTCCGACCCGGTTAACGAAACAGAATGTGGACACGAATCTGATTTGTTCTTCTCTGGCTTCTCCACTAGTTTCTCAAGCCTTCCTGATTCAAGCTCCTTCCATAGCTTGCGACCTAGCTGCCAAGCTTCCTTAGCCGACTTGTGAAGCTCCACTGACCCGTCTTTACTACTCGGGTCGAAAGTTTCCGAATCAAATCTCAAACTTGAGAGAAGACCCCGATGATGTTCACGGACCTTGTTCTGGTCCGTCCGGTTAACAATGGTCGGGTCAGAAACCGGGTTCGAAACTGGCTTCAATGGAGGATCAGGGATTTTCACGACATGGGGCTCTTGCTCGCTATTGAGCTTCTCGAGTCGGGAAAGAGAATCAAGAGGCACGGAGCTGCTGGACCAGGATTTGAATACGAGAGGTATCTCTACTGAGACAATTATCAGATAGAGAAACCCTATTGCCATTATTACACGAACCGATCTCTGCTTCCATAGTGAAGAGAACAGATCAAGCTTGTCGATTTTTTCAACTTTCGACAATTTGGGTTTTTTCATTTCTGTTTTTTTCTTAGGATCCAAGCAATGGAACGAATAAAAACCTAACTTTGAAACAAGAAGGATAAACAAAATGGTGGAATAGAGAATTTGCAATTTGTTCACGGGAGCAAATGAATATAAGCAGAGGATGATGACGATAGCTGCTGAAGAGGAAGAGATCTTGAATCTTGGGATACGCTATAGTGGAACTTTTGGGCGTATGTTAGTAGAAATATTTTCTTAATAAATTAGTACTTGTTTTTCAAAATTATTTTTCTTTCAAATTAACGGTGATAAAATTATACATGATTTTTACCAATTAAAGCTCCGATTGGTTATATTGTACAATCGCATAATGACAAAAATTGTATAATAAAATTTCGTAGACTGAACAATAGCAGAATAAAATTATTTAAAAAAATCTGTTAATTAGATACATTCTATATAATAGCGAAATGTAATATTATATTATCAATATATATTGATATTTAAGAAACAAAATAATTTTTCAAAAAAACCCGGGTGATATTTGATAATAAAATTATATAAATATTAATACTATAATTCTTAATAAGTTATGAAATTTTCAAATATTATTTGAAAAATGGATAAATTTCATTGTAGACAATTATGTCATGACTTTTTTAATTGCTAATATTTTGTATTGGGTAAAATAATAAAAATATATTATGCAAATAAGTATTTATTTGCATAATGAGTTTTTATATTTATTTTTAAGAAAAATAAATAAATTTTGCGTTTTTGCGTAGTCTAATGTGATTATGCAAATTTTATTGATTCACAAATTTTTGCATAATCACATTAAAAACGTCATTCCACCATTATAAGATTATCAATCGGAGTCTTAAGAAAATTTGTATAATATCTATATATACATTTTTGGATGACTTTTAGCAAATAAATCCTGGAGTTGGAATGTATTTACGGATGAATGCCATTGGCATTAATTATTTAAATTTGAAAAATATTAATTAAAGATATTACCAACACGATTTCGAGAATCATAAATTCATATCTTCCTTAATTTTCTGAGTCATTAATGTGATAATCTTTAGGAAATATTTCTCTCTAAAAAAAAAATCCACATTAATAAAGGCATTAAAATCGACGCTAACAATTAAATTATTTAGATATTCAATTATTTTAAGATTCTTATATCTTATTTGATATATTTTTTTAATATCTCATTCTTTAATTACTGCGTTTAGAATTTATTGGTTGTTACCTGGTGAAATTTATTGGTTGTTACTTAATAAGTACTTATGGTGCGTTTATTTTAGTTAATATCTAATTTAAAGGATTTGTTTTCTTTTATTATTAATAAACGAATAACATGTATAGAAATAAAAGATTTTTCTTGCGACTCCATAATAAAAATATTAAACTCTTATTTTCTACATTTCTTACACATAATATCCTCTTATTCAATAACAAAAAATATATATTGCATATTTTTAAAAATATTTATAATATTTAAATTATATAAAAAGTTTGTAATATTAATATTATTTCAACTCTATACAAATTTAATATATATGTATATATATCTTATGGGAACCATTTCACGGGACGGGTAATATGATGGGACGGGTTTGGGTTGATATTTATAAAAGATAGTATACCACGGGTGAAATCCTAAAATTAACAATCAAAATAATCTATCAAACAAATTACATTTTGATTTTTTTAAGAAAATATAGCCCCGCGGTGTACCGCGGGTTAAAATCTAGTTTGATAAAACATAAAGATGTAGGATTTATGCTTTCATCTTAAAAAAAGTTCAGATAATAACTATACAAATAAAATTCATTACGCAGATAAATAAATATAG